GAATCAAAGTTTTGAGGGCAAGGGATTATAACTAATTACCTTCTTGTTCTCTGCCACAGAACACTGATATGGGCAGATCAAAACATCAAGATTGCCTCATGCTGCTACAATCTTTTCATTACAGATGCAGTCACAGATCTATGAAAATAACAGTAGAAATAGCCAAGAGCAAAGAAGTGGATAATGAAATGCAAAAATAATTATCAGTCGGGAAAATAGTATCAAAACATGTGCACATTGCTTTACTGAAATTACCGTCCAAAATTAATGTTATTACCAATGCTTTTTACATGCCTTCAATGGGTTGTAACACAAAGTATGTTTGGATATAAAGTATGCTGTTTGATCTATAACATAACGTGCACGTGATACTGGCAAGAAGAGTCAGTGTAATGTGTAGATTTGCAGCAAACCAAAACATACATGGTAAACATAGATATGAACACAAGATATAATCAAGGCTAAGGGATGTTGGGAACTGCTGAAAGTTAATAAAAAATAATGGACAATCAAACTCAGGAGGAAATAGACTTCACAGGAAATTCTTGGCTGGAATTACATATACTATGAACAGTGGTAGAAAACTCTCTCTCAAAAAAAAAAAGTTTTCCTCTGCAAGGCAGTCATAATGTGGTAGTATGCATCGCATACTAACACATTATGTGAAACATACCTTAAAACGAAGCCCTCCAGTGGCATGGTGTCACTGCAGACAGGGCTTCCATCTTCTCTCTGTTCCTCTTCTGGGTTCGTGGGCTCTGAATGGCCAGGCCTCGATGACGTCACTCGCGCGCATGAGCGCGGGAGTCACTCTTTACGGCACACAGCTCTGAAGGAACAGCATGGGCATGCCACCATAGACAGCTTGTGCCAGTGCTCTACGCAGGTAAATAACTCCTAAATGGTGCAATTTTAGGAGATATTTACAGTATCTACAGGTAAGCCTTATTATAGGCTTACCTGTAAGTACAAGTGTAAAATCAGACTTTATTACCACTTTAAAAAATGTGTGGAAAATACACAGTGCTTGCCAGCAGCAGAGAGTGATGATGTGGCTTACATTGGTATGGAAAGAGAACAATAACCTTGGTGAATCTACGTTGAAGAAACAGATAGAAAAGTGACCATTGTCACATACAGTTGTGTTCAAAATAATAGCAGTCAGACATCACTAACCTGATCAATCACTGTTTTTGGTAGGAATGATATTTCTACATGGCAAATAATTTACTAGCAGGTGTAGTAGAGTAATAGAAATCCAACAGACCCAACAGTCATGACATGCATTAGTTCTATTAGTTCTATTAGTGAGGTCATTCATTCTTTGAAAAACAGGTGGCAATTATTGCCCTTATTTAAGGAAGGAAGGCAGCAAATGTTCTACATGCTGGTTACAGTGCATTTCTCTCTGAAATTCTGAGGAAAATGGGTTGTTCCAGACATTGTTCAGAAGAACAGCGTACCTTGATTAAAAAGTTGATTGGAGAGGGGAAAACATATAAAGAAGTGCAGAAAATGATAGGCTGCTCAGCTAAAATGATCGCAAATGCTTTAAAATGGCAACCAAAACCTGAAAGACGTGGAAGAAAGCGAAAAACTACCATTCAAATGGATAGAAGAATAGCCAAAATGGCTCGGACTCAGCCAACAATCAGCTCCAGGAAGATCAAAGAAGGTCTAAAGTTACCTGTGAGTACTGTTACAATTAGAAGATGCCTATGTGAAGCCAAGCTATCTGCAAGAAGCCCCCGCAAAGTCCCACTGTTGAAAAAAAGACATGTGCTGAAGAGGTTACAATTTGCCAAAGAGCACATTGACTGGCCTAAAGAGAAATGACGCAACATTTTGTGGACTGATGAAAGTAAGATTGTTCTTTTTGGGTCTAGTGGCCGGAGACAGTTTGTCAGACGACCCCCAAACACTGAATTCAAGCCACAGTACACTGTGAAGACAGTGAAGCATGGTTGCGCAAGCATCATGATATGGGGATGTTTCTCATACTATGGTGTTGGGCCTATTTATCGCATACCAGGGATCATGGATCAGTTTGCATACATAAGAATACTTGAAGAGGTCATGCTGCCTTATGCTGAAGAGGAAATGCCCTTGAAATGGGTGTTCCTACAAGACAACGACCCCAAACACACCAGTAAACGTGCAACATCTTGGTTCCAGACCAACAAGATTGACGTAATGGAGTGGCCAGCCCAATCCCCGGATCTTAATCCAATAGAAAACTTGTGGGGTGACATCAAAAATGCAGTTTCTGAGGCAAAACCAAGAAATAGAGAAGAACTGTGGAATGTAGTCCAATCATCCTGGGCTGGAATACCTGTTCACAGGTGCCAGAAGTTGGTTGACTCCATGCAACACCGATGTACAGCAGTTCTCAGAAACAGTGCTTATACAACTAAATATTAAGTGATTCAAAGGAAAGCAAAATCTTCAAACATTTTTCAGTTTATATAGTGAATGTTTGAGTTTGTGAAGAAGAATACAAACACTGCTATTTTTTTGAACAGTCTAATATTCACTTTTCTTCAAATTTTTTAGAGGAACAACACAAATGTGATATATTTTTCTTCATGTTTTGATTTGGAATAGAATGTGTAGTGTTCCCAATGCATTTGTGTGTATGGAAATAAAAGCTATTAGAAGGATTTTGAGCTTTATTCACTTTTTTCAACACACTACTATTATTTTGAACACAACTGTATGTCACAGTCAATGTAATTGTACAGTGTAAAGAAATATTCAGTACTCTGTAACAATGCAGTGCTGCATTTACATTCATCCAACAGTATTATGACCACTTAGGAGCTAAAGAGGAAAACAAGATCCATTGTATTTACATTACATGAACAGGCTACTTCCGCTTCCTCTCTTTAAGCTGGATATAGGCTAACAGAATTTCAAATGAAAATTTATATGAAAATTCTCAGGAAAATTAATCCGAAAGCTCTTTGAACATTTGAATGCGGTATTCAAGATTTTGTTTGCTTTTAACATTTGATTTTGGAATGGATGGATTCATACATTTGAGAAAAAATTTCCATCTTACTTCTTCAAATTTTCTAATCACTGTGGTCGAAAGCAAACGTAAATTTGACCCCACTAATGATTAGAAAAACAAACAAACATTCTACCAGTGAAAATTGCTGAACAACATTCTGCTAGTATATATCCAGCTTATGTCTACAATCTTTTCCTGCTGCCCCCCGTCTTTTGCCCTTCCTGACTCTTCCCCTGTTGTCTGTTATTTGTCACCACTACCTTCTCTTCCCTTTGCTACTGACTGCGATCTAAACCTCTTTTCATCACAAAGGTACTTCCTATACTCTACATCTCATCTGTTCTGCTCTGCTCCTCTGACCTACTAGGTCTTTCTCACTGGACAGCTTTGTGCACATCTACCACCTCCTCATTTTCAAAGGCTTTATTTATATTGATTCTAAAGGTTACATTTCTTTAAAAAGAACAAACATGTTATACTTATCTGCTCTGTGGAATGGTTTTGCACAGAGCAGCCCCGATCCTCTTCTTTTTGGGTCCCCTGCCAGCAGTCTTGGATCTTCCCCCTTGCCAAATCCCCCCCGCCTCTTGCTATGGGGGCACTTGAGCAGTCGCACTCGTATGAATGGACATTGTCTATTCACACACACAGAGCACAGCTCGGTCCTGCCTGCTCTCTCCTTATTAGCTCACTTACTGTGACTGGCAGCAGCAAGGGCTAATGGCTCCCACTTCTGTGTGAGCCAATGAGGGAAGAGAGACATGGGATAGTCGAGGCTCTCATGAACACCGCTGGAGTGAGATTGGGCTCAGGTACGTGTTAGGGAGGGCTGGGGGGAGGGAGCTGCACCCAGAAGGTTTTTTACCTTTATGCAAAGAATGCTTGAAGGTAAAAAAAAGTTCTGCCTTTAGAACCACTTTAAATCCTCAGTGTGTCCACCTTCTATATTCCTTCTCTTCTCACCTTCATTAAATGTTTTACACAAGTTCCTGCTTTCTTCATTTTCCCAAAATGCGATCACAATGCATTCTCTGACTCGCTGTGTCACTGTTAGATCTTGCCCTCCTCCATCAGCTTCTTTCCTTCCTATGCTTCCCTTCCTATTCCTTCTCCCCATCAGCACCCCCTTTCCCCAAAAAATTAACTCTCTACCCTCCCTCCAATCCTTAGTTTCCATTTCCTACATGCCTCCACTATTAGCTACCATTTTTCCTTTCCCACAACAAGTCCCACGCTCTGTACCACCAATTCTTGCTTTCTCCCCAAAAGGCGCCAGACAATAAACAAATGAAATACTATTTTAAAGAAAACAACATGCTTCAGTTTGCTGCTATATGTAAAAAATTGCATGGCATGAAGACGTGATTTGATGACTTTCAATATATTTTCTTGAGGTCAAAATGAAAAGGTAGTAATCAAATATCAAGATTTTGATTTTCTATGGCATGGTTGTAGAATCCATCCATCCATCATGTACATCCATCAATTGTTTTTCCATTTAATCTTTTATAGCATGTACAAAAATAGGTTAACCACTAGCCTACAGGGCACCTATACCCCCTTCCTGCACAGGCCAATTTTCAGCTTTCAGCGCTGTCACACTTTGAATGACAATTGCGCGGTCATGCAACACTGTACCCATATGAAATTTTTATAATTTTTTTGAGACAGATAGAGCTTTCTTTTGGTGGTTTTAAATCACCTCTGGGGTTTTTATTTTTTGCTAAACTAACCAAAACTTCTAAAAATGTTGAAAAAAACACGTTTTTTCTTAGTTTTTGTTATACAATTTTGTAAATAAATGAGTTTTCTTCTTCACTGATGTGCACTAATGAGGCTGCAGTGCTGAGCACTGATAGGCTGCAATGATGGGCACTAATAGGTGGCACTGATGAGGAGGCACTAGTAGGTGCCACTGATGGGCCTTGACAGGCATCACTGATGGGCACTGAAAGGCAGCACTCATATATGGCACTGATAGGCGGCACTGATAGGCGGCACTGACTGGCACTGATAGGCGGCACTGACTGGCACTGTTAGGCAGCACTGACTGGCACTGTTAGGTGGTATTGACTGGCACTGATGCACACTAATAGGCGGCACTGACTGGCACTAATACACGGCACTGACTGGCATTGATAGGTGGCACTGACTGGCACTGATAGGCCACACTGAAAGGCAGCTCAGATGGGCACTGATATGTGGCATTGATGTGCACTGGTAGGCACTGATATGTGGCATTGATCAGGCACTGACGGGCACTGGCAGGTGGCACTTCTGGTGCCACACTGATCATCAGGGCACACTGATCATCAGTGCCCTGATGATCAGTGCCCATGTCCCCTCCAAGGAATGCCGATTACCAGCTCTCCTCTTGAGCTGTCAGCATGAGGAATGGAGTGAGGAGAGTAATGCTGATAACCGGCATTTCCCTATTTACATGTGATCAGCTGTGATTGGACATAGCTGATCACATGACTGAGCCGACAGCTTCGGCTCTTTCCGTTGATCGGTGATCCACTGTGTCTGAGGGACACAGCGCACCGCCGACCGCTGCGCTGCGTGTTCCCAGAGCCGCGCATGCGTGGTTAGAGTGGGAGGACATTGTATGATGTCCTCCCAGAACGAGAGAACCACCTTGCGCCCGTCATTACCTTATATGGCAGGCAGGAGGCGGTTAAACCAAAACGATTTAAAGAACAATGGAGTTGCCCCTAAAATCTGGAAAATAATAAATTAAAGCCAAAATATAGGTAAGGCCATTTTTACAAAGCTACATTGGTCCACCTTTGACCAATGGAAGTAAGTATTTGCCATACTTGTGGGATCCCCATAGAAACTGGAAATCACTGGTAGACACCACTACTGTAGTGATCTCCTCTAGCTTCTGGGTCCCGTGCCAAGTGACTGCCCTGATTACTGAACACAGAAAGTCACTTGGGCAGGGTTGCCATTCAGGGAACACTTTGCCTTTTTTTTCATTTTCTCAATGAATACAAAGTGCAAAATCTGGTGCAGCTGTGCATGATAGACAATCAGCTTCTAACTTCAGCTTGTTCAAATAAGTTATGACCAAAACAAAAAGCTGTAAGCTGATTGGTTTCTATGCAGAGATGCATCAGATTTTGCACTCTCCACTTTCAGTAAATCGACCCTAAAGTGTTTTCTGATTGGATAATGTAGAGATATTGATGTCACCATCCCCACCTCTCCATCTTGTCCAATCAGAGAATACTTTGCAGGACCCAGAAGCTAGTGGCAATTACTGTAGTAACTGTGCCTACTACAGTGATTTCCAGCTTCCACTGGGACCCCACAGTTATGGCATCTACATAGATACACTAATCCAAGCTGGACCAATTTAGCTATGTAAAAATTGCAGTAACTAAACTTCAGCTTTAAAGTGAACCTGTGAGGACAGAAATATAGGGACCAACATTGTTGTTCTGCAACCTGCAACTTTAAAAACAAAAACAGCTACTGCATTTCTATGCACTCTAAGAGGAACTTTTCAGTATAACATCATATGGATTGCACATACTCTAAATGCCCAAAGGGAATACATTTTATCTTCAAGAAACAATTTCTTCCCACATAGTAGAAGGAGCGTTGCCAATGGGACCCCCACAAATTGGCTGAAAATGTGATATGCTCTTCCCAAGCCAAGTTATACAGTACACCGCAAGCTGTTAATATGATCCTTTCCAAGTACAGTCACTACATTATCTAAAACATGCCATTGCTCCATGAGATGCCCTGGGTCTGAAAAAGGAATCACTGCAAGCAAAGTGTATATATTCCAAAATCTAGTAATGCTGCATATTGTTGCTGTTTAAGGAAGGTTTCTAACAAGTTCAAATGCATGATGTGCATGCAAGCGCTTACAGAGACATGTGTGACTTTTCAGAAGACAGGAAATTGGGTCAAAGAAGAGAACAGGGGAACAGCAGGTAAGTGGGTGTAAGTAATAAGTCTAGAAAAAAGACATGCTGCCTTAAGGAAAATTCAATGCCCATGAAATGAATGGAGATATTCTACATGATTCAAGTTGAAACAGCAATCTTTGAAGTTAAGGTACTTCTGGACCAAGCACAACTGATTATAAACCGTAGGAGTAATTACTCCTACAGGAATAATTAGGAGTAAATTGTACCATTAAGTGGCAGGGAAGTATGACTTTCACAATGAGTTTTACAATGTGGTTTAAGGTAGAAGTGTCTGAGATCTTACACGGTAATGATGGTCATGACATATCAATAATAAGTGAAGGGATAAAGTAGCAACAATAAACCATAGGAAAGAGACCCATATTGTTATCAAGTGGACACAGGATAATCACCTCCAGTATGAAGCAAATGGGTAGATTGTGGCCATAGCATAGAGCAGGGGGCTCCAAACGAAGGGCCAGTTTACTGTCCTTCAGACTTTAGGGGGGCCGGTCTGTGGCCAGTAGGAGAAGAAAATGTCCTGGCATCAGTGGGAGTAAACAATGCCTCATCATTGGTATTAACGGGAGATATACAGTTAGGTCCATATATATTTGGACACAGGCACAATTTTGATACTTTGACTCTGTATGCCTCCAAAATAAATTAAAATGAAACAATTCAAATTATTTGAAGTGCAGACTTTCAGCTTTAATTCAAGGGGTTGAACATAAATATCAAGTACAAGAACTACAACCTGCAATATCAAGTATCAAGAACTGCAACCATTTTTATACACAGTCCCTCCATTTTCAGGGGCTCAAATGTAATTAGACAAATAAATATAATCATAAATAAAATGTTCATTTTTAATATTTTGTTGAGAATGCTTTACTGGCAATGACTGCCTGAAGTCTGGAACCCATGGACATTACCAAAGACTGGGTTTCTTCCTTTCTGATGCTTTGCCAGGCTCTAATTGCAGCTGTCTTCAGTTGTTCTTTGTTTGTGGGTCTTTCTGCCTTTAGTTTTGCCTTCAGCAAGTGAAATGCATGCTCAATCAGTTTGAGATCAGGTGATTGACTCAGTCATTGCAGAATATTCCACTTCTTTTCCTTCAAAAGCTCCTGTGTTGCTTTTGCAGTGTGTTTTGGATCATTGTCCATCTGTATTGTGAAGCGCTGTCCAATCAACTTTGCTGCATTTGGCTGAATCTCGGCTGACAGTAGATCTCTAAACACTGCAGAATTCATCCGGCTGCTTCTGTCTTCTGTCACATCATCAATAAACACCAATGGCCCAGTGCCACTGGAAGCCATGCATGCCCATGCCATCACACTGCCTCCACCATGTTTTACAGATGACGTTGTGTGCTTTGGATCATGAGCTGTTCCAAGCCTTCTCCACACTTTTTTCTTCCCGTCATTCTGGTACAGAATAATCTTGGTTTTATCCGTCCAAAGAATGCTTTTCCAGAACTGGTCTGGCTTTTTTAGATGTTTTTGGCAAAGTCTAATATGGCTTTTCTTTTCTTCAGGCTTATGAATGGTTTTCACCTTGTGGTAAATCCTCTATATTTGTTCTTGTGAAGTCATCTCTTGATTGTAGACTTTGACAATAATATGCCCACCTCCTGGAGTGTCCTTCACTTGTCTGGATGTTGTGAATGGGTTTTTGTTTACCATAGAGAGGATCCTGCAATCATCCACCACTGTTGTCTTCCGTGGACGTCAATGCCTTTTTATGTTGCTGAGCTTCTTTCCTCAGAATGTACCAAACTGACGATTTGGCCACTCCTAATATTGCTGCTATCTCTCTGATGGATTTGTTTGTTTTTGAAGCCTTACAATGGCCTGTTTCACTTGCATGGACAGCTCTTATGAAGCACGATGTAGGCTCACAGCAATAGATTCCAAATGCAAATACCACACTTAGAATCAACTCCAGACCTTTTACCTGCTTAATTGATGAAGAAATGACAAAGGAGTAGCCCACACCTGGCCATGAAACAGCTTTTGATTGAACAGTCCAATTAGTTTTGGTCCCTTGAAAAAGGGGGGATGGCTACTCTCAAGAGCTGTAATTTCTAAACCCTTACTCCAATTTGCATGTACATACCCTCAAATTAAACCTGAGAGTGTGCACTTTGATCCCATATCCATTAATAACTATAGCTTGAATATGTTTTGGTAAATACCTGAAAAAAACTAAAATTGTGGCTGTGTCCAAATATATATGGACTTAACTGTAGCCCCATCACTGGTATCAATGGGAGGAATAAGTGTCCCATTGTTGGCGTCAGTGGGAGGAATAGGTCCCATCATTGTGGGGAGGAATAGTGCCCCATCATTAGTGTCAGTAGGAGAAATAGTGCCCTATCATTGGTGTCAGTGGGAGGAATAATGTCCTATTAGTGTTTTCAGTGGAAGCAATAGTGCCCCATCATTGGTGTCAGTGGGAGGAATAATGCTCCATTATTGGTGTCAGTGGAAGGAATAGTGCCCCATTGTTGGTGTCAGTGGCAGGAACTATGACCCCACTGTTGCTGATGGTGGGGGGAATAATGCCCCAAGGGCCAGATAAAGGGGCCGCAGTTTGGAGACCATTGGCATAGAGTGTTCAGTGGAAGCAGGATCTTTATTTTAAAGAGGAAGTAAACTCTAAAAAAGCTCATAACAATAAAAGGCAGGCAGAGGGTAAAGTCATCAATAATGCCCTTGGTCCCCTGCAGCCACTTTTCTCATTACTGACTTAACATACCTTGTCCTGCACTGTGACTCTCTGTAGAGGCAGGTATGAGTCTATAGGCAGAAGAGTGCCTAGGCACCAGGAAGTAAACTATTTTTCATGAGAAAAACATGCATTTTCAGGGTACTGCTTAGGTGAAAATAACTGTTTAAAATATTCCCTATAACATAGCAAATCTTCACTTTAATCCCTTGACCCTGAGGCCAATTCTGACATTTCTCACATTTTTTGTTATAAAAGTACATAGTACCCCCAAACATTATATATATTTTTAAGCAGTGACCCTGGTGAATAAAATGTTGGGTGTTGCACATTTTTTGTCACACGATATTAGTACAGCAGTTTTTCAAACACAGTTTTTTTTTTTTTTAAATGGGTTTTATTGAATTTTAGTGAATAGAAACACAATATAAATACCCAATTTTGTGGTATAAATATAAAAGATTAGGTTACCAAACATGTCATGCTTTAAATATGTGTACACTCATCAGACAGCCACAAACTATGATACAATAAATTATCCATAGGTGATGCTTTAAAAGCCTCTACTGGTTACTAGTTAATTGCTTGAATAAACAAAAAATAATATAAAGTGCAGTGCTAAACCTACAATCCCATATATAATAGTGAATATATATGAAAGTGCTAAAAAATCTGTGCAGAATATATATCTGTGCAATAAATGATATACAATACATCACTAAACTCAAAATCCTAAATATAATAATAAATATATATATGATCTATTGTAAATATATATATGTGTCTATTTACCTTTACACATGAGCGAGTGGGTTCAGGGGGGTGCTTTAATTTTTTTTTTCTACTATTTATTTAATTTACATTTTT